CCGCAAAAGACAGTTTCACTCTCTTGACAGCAGAACCAAACAAGGGATATAAAGCGGTTATAACGTACGCAACATTGGTGGTTAGAAAAGCCAGACTTAACCCCGCCATTTCTATCGCACACGAAAAGGCTTTAACGACAACAAATGCAAAATACCCCTTTAAACGGGTTGTTATAAAAACCTTTGCTATGCCGAAAGGTATGTTAAGTTACAACCAAGACAATTTGTATATGAGTCAAACACCCACCCGTTTAGTGATCGGTCTAGTCGCCTCTACAGCCTTTAATGGAAGTTACACGAAAAACCCCTTCAATTTTCAACATTTTCACTTGACGTATTTAAATGTAAGCGTTGATGGTCGCTCGTTATCGGGAAAACCACTGGTCATGGACTTTGATAAGAAACAAGCCATTAGAGCGCTTTTCAATAGTAACCTCGCTCTTGGTATGGTTGGAAAAGATGCTGGGAATGGGATAGATTATAAAAACTTTAAGAACGGGTATACCCTGTTTGCTTTTGATTTAAGCCCTAGTCTTTTGGATGGTGAACAATTTGAATTGGCTAAATCTGGACCTGTTTCTATTAAACTTAAATTTTCACAAGTTACAGCTGACCCGATTCAAGTTATTGTGTATGCTGAACTTGATTCGGTGTTAGAAATTTCGAAAACGATGCAAGTGCTGACAGATTACACCGCCTAAATCACCCTATAAAAGAAAATGAATACAAGAGAACTACAAAGTATACTGACCGTGGATTTATTTGTGCAACGCACGACTCTCTTTGCTGTTTTAGCGTGTGATCAGTTACCCGCACGTCTCGATAGAACGAAGCAAGCGGCGTTCATTATAAATTTAGATTCGTCCGCGGAGGCAGGGAGTCATTGGGTTGGTCTATTTTTCAACGGTCTATCGCAATTTACTTATTTCGATAGTTTTTGATTACCACCTAGGCAGTCAGCCATTTTGTCTTTTATAAAAAATAATTCAAACAGACCACTCGTTTACAATTCAAGAGTGTTACAAGATATTCTAACCAACAGTTGTGGTTTATATGCAGTTTATTTTGTTTTGAAGAAAGCTCGCGGAGCAAATTTAAAAGCTATATTAAAACCCTTTTCGGCGTCAGCGAGTCGTCAATATATTAACGATCGTATTATAACATGTTTAACACTTCAAATTATTGGAACTAATTATAAAAGATTATTTCAAGATGTCTACTGAAGATTGGATACTTGTGGCCAGATGTAACAATAAAGTGACGGAAATACGAACGACGAATCACACTGGATTTAAATTGGCGATTGTCAGCCAATTCATGAACAAAAACACTTTAAATCTTAGAGAGCTTATAGATGGGACCGATCTTAATTTTCCTACAAATTCTGGTGTTACTATGAGTCGAGTGTGTTTTGAGCGCCTGTTAAGTTTACAGGATGATATTTTAAAAGCCTTTGATGCCTTGGAAAAACGTTAATAAACAAAAAAAAATATAAGAAGAGTTTTGTTCTAATTTTAGTGTGTGTGTGTGTTGGGTGAATGTGTATACGTTTAGCATACGCGTATCAGAAAACTTAAAAACCCATGACACTGTACGTTTAACTGTTAGTGGAAAGTGTGGTACCAGCTGTTGCACAGCTGGTTAATGGATACACGGACTCGATGCGGGTCGATCAATACATTCCCATTAAAAAACGGGCAGCGCCGGGGAGGTTCACGGGCGGATCGATACGTAACAGCTGTCACTAATGAGTAACAGGTGTCGCTAATGGTTGTTATACACAAAGTATACGTTAGCGTTGTGTTGGAGAATTTAAACACCATACAACAAAGAAAAGAAATATATCAAATAAACAAACCAACAAATTAAACAACAAGTAAACAAATAAACAACTTTAAAAATTTAAAATTAAAAAAATAAAATTTAAAAAATTTAAAAATTTAAAAAATTTAAAATTACAAAATTAAAATTAAAAAAAATTCAAACTCATTAAAAAAAATTAATTAAACTAATTAAAAATAAACAAACAAACAACAATTAAACAAATTAAAATTAATTAAAATTTAAAATTAAAATATTTAAAAATTTAAAATCCAATTACGTAACTAGATAATAATAATTAATTAAAATTAAAAATTATAAAATTAAAATTTAAAAAACAAATTAAAAATAATTAAAAATCAAACAAATAATCAAATTACGTAACTCGTTAATAAAAATTAATTAAAATTTAAAAATTAAAATCAAACTAATTAAAAAACTCATTAAAATTACGTAACTATGTCACTGGTTACGTAACAAGGTCACCGGAGGTGACCTACTCCCCATCCCCACTGCGCCTGCCCATCTCCATCCCCATCCGGAGTATTTTACTATATCTCAATGTACCAGGCTGCTGCGCCTGCGCCTGGAGTATTTTACTATATCTTATTGTTCCTGCGCCTGCCCATCCCCATCCCTAGTATTTTACTATATCTCATTGTACCAGGCTGCTGCCCCTGCGCCTGGAGTATTTTACTATATGTCATTGCTCCAGGCTCCCCATCCCCATCCCGAGTATTTTCCTATATCTCGTTGCTCCAGGCTGCGCCTGCGGTCCAAAAGTGACCTTATATACTACTGAAGGCAAGCTATAGGTCTTGCTTGGTGCAACAATAACATAAACATATACACGTTTGATGCAACAATAACATAAACATATACACGTTTGATGCAACAATAACATAAACATATATATGCTTGGTGCAACAATAATATAAACACATACACGCTTGGTGCAACAATAATATAAACACATACACGTTTGGTGCAACAATAACATAAACACATACACGCTTGGTGCAAAAATAACATAAACACATACACGCTTAGTGGAACAATAATATAAACATATACACGCTTAATAATTAAAATAAAACACGCGCTTGATAATAATTAAACAAAACATATACAAGCTTAATAATTGAAATAAAACACATACGCGCTTAATAATTAAAACAAAACATATGCAAGCTTAATAATACAAAATAAAACACATATACGCTCAATAATATAAAATAATACACAGACACTAGAATATCAGATCAATATAAATATATTTGAAAGTATGTATGTGTGTGTGGGCGGGGGGTATATCCTTTATACTTTATATTACTATACCTTTCATCCCTTTGCCGTTTAACTTTGAATTGTTGAGAATGCTCCTTGAAAGGTTTGTGTGTAAAAAAATACATTTCATCCCTCAAGGGCTTAAAAAGTGCCAAGAATAAACATAAGGAATATTAACCAGTTAGGCGTTGACTATTTGGCTCAAAATATTAACATGGTGGTTCCTCGGTGAACGGAAAAAAAGTCACAGAAAAAAGAAACACAGAAAAAAGTCACAGTTTTTGCTAGGAAAAAAAGTCACAGAAAAAAAGTCACAGTGGAAAAATTTTAACGGAAAAAAAGTCACAGAAATAAAGTCACAGAAAAAAAGTCACAAAAATCTTTTTAGAAGTATTTGTATTAATTTGTTAAGAATTGTAAAATTGTGTATGTTTGTTGTTGTGGGTTGTATTTTTTATAGCATAAATTATTTATAGACGTCAAAAGCATTATGATTTATAACAAATGTAAATACTCTAAGATAATTAACACAACAATCTCAACTTTGTTACGTATTTAGTTAAATACGCGGTAGAAAAGTTAATTATAAAAGAAATTTAGGCACATTTTGTCGTAGGCTATTCATTGGTCGGCCTCTCCTCAGTAGGCATTGTCGGAACATATTTTGATTTGTTGAAGTTATGCGTTAATGACAGCCTTTGAACCTTGTCGGCTTGCCGTTTAGATCCTAAGTTTTGTTATGTAATGAGCGTGATAAATGTGGGCAGTAAAGGTGGTTGAACTAATCATAACTATTGTTGCGATGAGTTGAGGGCAGCAAGTCAGATGAAATTACCATTTCACGGTAATTTAATATTGGTATTTTTAAAAAAACACGATGAAAAACGTGGACTTTAGAGAATTCTATTAAATACTACTAATCTTAAGTTTAAAATAATTACAGAGAATTCTATTAAATGCTACTAATCTTAAGTTTAAAATAATTACAATCTAGACTTCTACATACTTTATAATAAATATTTTTAGATGAATTATAAAAATTCCTATGCGTATACAGCCTACACATATTACATTACATTTAATTAATCCTAAGTTAATTTGCACTCTCTAAATATTTAATACATAAAAGTATTAACAAATATCATGCAAATATATATTTGTGACTTTTTTTCCCTGTGACCTTTTTTCCTGTGACTTTTTTTCTGTGTTTTTTTCCTGTGTTTTTTTTTTTTCCTGTGACTTTTTTCCTACAATCGGTTCCTCTTTATCCATAAAAATTCTATTAAAAAACTTGGATGATCCTACCGTTCTAAAAATAGTGAATAGAAATAGTTTGAGTTTAAATCTTGAGTTTCCCCAGTAAAGATACATTTCTAAGAATTAAAAAAATGAAATGAAAAGTATATCTGTTTGTCTGTGTGTTTATCATTTATACCTTTGATAAGTGTGTAAAAAATACTCCACGGGAGGTTTCTGTGAAAAATAAATTTACGCCTACATTTATTTTAAACAGCACAATACGATAGGGACTTGGTGAAGTCTAAAATTACACAATTGGTAATGCATAGATGTATTCCTCTTAATTACACCATTGGTAATACAAACATGTAATCTTCTTAAATACACAATTGGTAATGCATAGATGTAATCTTCTTAAAGTATTGCATCAGCCCGCAGCAGCACTTGGGACGGGAACGCCAGTGTAACAACACACATTCACGCTTAGTTATCTAGCAACGTCCAACAGATAGTGTGAATTGTTTAGAAAGACATAGACAATACACGGGACAGGCAGTTATAAACAAACAGATTTAGACACACACAAATAGACAGACAAAGATAGACTGAAACAGTCAGAGACAAATAGACAGACAAAGATTGATTGACACAGGCTGACACAGATAAAAACATAGACAGATAGACAGGCACAGACCACACACATAACAGACACAGATAAACAGACAGAAATAGACAGATATAGAGCAGCCACTGGGCATGTTTATTAGTGAATCAATTGTCGGTCTGTGTCTAAATGACACGGCTTGTTGGATCAAGTCTGTCTAACTGTGGGTGAGGGGGATACGTCATCATACCAGCGTCCACTCTGGTCAGTAGGGCTCGCGTGTATCACGTGATATAAAATGGTCGCCCGTTGCAACTACACAAGATCTAAAAGTAGCTGTCGTCGCTTGCTGGGTAAGGCCCCGGCCTAAAGACATTGATCCCCACGGCCTTGCGTGCGATGGTGATGACATTTCGTTGCTGGCGGCCAGCCAGTCCACGCCTGTCGTGATTCTGGCCGTCTATGGAAGACTGTTGGCCGAACACGATGGAGGCGGACACGTCATCGGAGGTGTCGAGTTGTGGGCTGGAGGCTGAGTTCCGGCAGGGCGAGACGTCCCGGCTTCCGATGGGCTCGGACTCGGCTCGAAATTTCCTTTTAAGTCCGACCTTGTGTTTGTTGTTGTGTTTTGCGCTGTCTATGTGACTGATGGGCTTATGGTTGATGCCCTCCCTGTGGACACATCTCTCCACCGCTTCATCTCTCTCACCGCCCTGCCCGACCCCTGGGATATGATCCCTAGTATCCCGCCCCTCATTGATGTCCCTCATCAAAACATCGAAGGAAAAACTAGCGGCAGCGTGTGTGTGTTGGTGTGGACACGCATCTTTCCTGCCAACCCTGATGTCCGTGTGTCGACGCTCGTCCCTTGCTCTTGACCTGGGTTTTAAATACCTCTCTTTTATTGCGTCATCATGTTTCCTCTGGTCGGTGACGTCACTTGTGTTAAAACATTTGAACGTGCTGAGGATGGGCTTCAACTTCCGGGCCATCTCCTTGGCCCGTTTGAGCCGCCGCCTGCTGGAGATATTGCCCGCTTGCTTCATGCCCTGATACTTGTGCTCCAAGCTGAAGTTTATCAGTTGGATGAGAGAGGACACGTCCGACTGTCTACACGTCATGACGTCAGATTGTCTGCTGGCCATTGCGTCAGATTGTCTGTTGGCCATGACGTCAGATTGTCTGCTAGCCATGACGTCAGATTGTCTGCTGGCCATTGCGTCAGACGGTTTACTTGTCATAACGGTTTGGTTTGACTCGTCGCTCGGCTGGATGGGCAAGCTGTTCATCGCCGGCTGACCTTTGACCTGCACTGGCTCCTGCTCTTTTTCTGACTGTTTTTTCATCTGTGGCTCATGTTTGGGGTTATGCTGAGGCGAGATACGAGAACTTGTAACCTCATTTTCTGTAGGCTGCTGACGTCGAGCTGCCTGTTTGAATGTCTTTATGACGTCATCTCGAACAGTTGGTGAGGGTGTGTTTATTAGCCCTCTCTTACACAACTGTGTGGGCCTCTGGCTGCTCACGTACGGCCCCGTCTGAACCTTGGGTTTCAGTCCAGACGACGATGACCACACCGGCGCCCGTTGCGTGCCACCAAACATCATTTCTTTACCCAGCAAGTTTTTTCCTAAGCGATTTTTCCTAGCAGGGCCGTCCCTCTCTTTGTTCTTGTTCAGTCCCCAGCCATTTTTCTGTTCCTGTCCCTGGGGCTTGGTGTCGCTGACCGTCAGTCGGCGCAGCGTGTTGCGTGCCCTCTGTTGACCCGTGCTCACGTTTATTGCACGCCTGGCGGGTTTAGCGCGCTCACCTGTGCTGCGGTCAAAAGGTGCTGGCGCGTGCTGTTCTCCCAAAGGTTTGACCACCCCAGGCGGATGTGCTTTACCTGCCAATGGCTTGGCTTGAAATGACTTGCCGTTGCTTTGGCGACCACCACTCAAAAGGCTTTTAGCAAGTAGTTTGGGTTTGAATACAGGAATTCTCGAGCCAGTTCGGACAGTGACGTTTCTTGAAGTCTGCGTCTCGTCAACCTTCTTGCTGGTCAACTGGTTGGTCAACTGGTTGTTCAACTGGTTGGTCAAATGGTTAGCCGGAATTGTGGCGCCAAGACGTTCGTCATGCTTGTGGTTGCTGGGGTCGGTGCGGACGTTCCCCCTCATGTCGGCAGTGACGACCAAACCGCCTTCTCCCGACCCGCCATCGACCTGGTTGCTTGTGTTTTTCTTATGCACATTGCTTAGCCTAGTAGGACAGAGACCGCAAAATGTCGGGCTCTTGAACTTCTTTAACTGCTCCGGTGTTTTTAGCGCGAGGAGCAGGGCGGACAAGAGTGTGTTGTAGATGTCAGTTTTTCTAGTCACTTTGTTCAAGGGACACGGCTCCTTCTCACGCCCCGCGGCTTTTTGCGAGTAGGCCAGTAGCTTGTTCAGTGTCTCGCCACCCTGGTGCCGCCTCTTCCTTGACCGGAAGTGTCTCATGTCGCGTGCGATGCTCAGCGACGTCTCAGAGGCTGAGAGGAACTCGCCGTGTACGGCTCCACGTCGGCCGAGGACTTTCGGTGGGCTGAGTTCCGGCTTCTGAACTTTAGGGACAGTTATTTCCTTTGTGTTGCCTGGCAATTTCCGGCGGTCTGATACAGTCTTGGCTAGGCGCTTAAGCTCCAGGTTGGACTGCTTGATGTCTATAAAGTTGCCAGATTTTTCCTTCGACTTGCGACTGTTTGAAAGTTTGGGCAAACATCTCGTAAGTCCATGCTTATCATCTGGATTCAAGCTCCCCAAGTTAAAGTTGATTTGAATTTTGATCTCCTTGTCGCTTTTATTTTCAGAAATGGAACTTGCAGGACAAGCTATGTGTTCCTTGCTGTCAATTTGTTTACTGACGGCATGTTCCCTGTTGTCAATTTGTTTACTGACGGCATGTTCCCTGTTGTCTCTTGGTTTATTGACGGCATGTTCCCTGTTGTCTATTGGTTTATTGACGCTATGTTCCCTGTTGTCTATTGGTTTATTGACGCTATGTTCCCTGTTGTCTATTGGTTTATTGACGGCATGTTCCCTGTTGTCTATTGGTTTACTGACGGCATGTTCCCTGTTGTCTATTGGTTTACTGACGCTATGTTCCCTGTTGTCTCTTGGTTTATTGACGGTATGTTCCCTGTTTTCTTTCTGTGCTGAGAGCGCCGTGGTAAGCAGGGTCTGAATGTGGGACAGGTGTACAGATGAACTGGCCCTGAGACTAGCTTCCCCACCCTCGCTACACTCTGCGGGTCTCCTAACCTCGACAGCCGGTGGGTTGTGTGTAGCGAGATAGATCGGAGTCTCTGGATGTGATGTTTTCCTAGCGTCATTTGATCGTTTGCGTTCTGTTCTAGATTTGTGCGCGCCATGTTTTAAAATAGTTTTTTGTGTCATATGGGCTTGCACGGACGGCGCATCTTTTTTATCACGTGCAGTCTCTGTCTTGTCTGACGTCACGTGAGGCGACCCTGACCTTCTGGACTGTTTGTTCGGCGTTGGCCCTAAACTTTTAAATAGTTTGTTTGGTGACGATTTAGGTGGCCTTGACCTTTTCTCTCTGTTCGAAGGTCGAGGTGAGGCCTGATTGGGCGAGGTTCCCATCTTATCGCCGTACTGATGGCGTGTAGACAGACGCTTGGATGCTCGCGTGTCTCCCCTTGTATCCCGCCGGGGGCTGGACGGGGAGCTTAACATTAGCTCACACTCTGGTGAGTCCAGCCGTTTGTGTTTCCTGCGTGAGCTTAACTTCCGGCTGTCGTCTGTTTTAAGAGACCGCCGCACCGCGTAGTTGTCTGTTGGAGAGGTATGGGACATGACGTCACGGCACGACTTGCTTAGACTAGCCTCCGTCAGATCAAGCTGTTGTAGCCTACGTCTAACCGGAAGTAAACTTTTAGACTTCCGGTGTTGTGTTTTTTTCCCTGTGTAGTTTGAGCGTTCCTTGACGGAATGTTCTGTCACCTCCTCTAGCTCCTCCAGTGTTGGTTTCAAGCCAGATCGCGGCTTCTCGGCATTCTGCTCTGTGTTTGTGCACGCCTCACTGGTTGCACGAAACGCCTTTTGTCGGAGGGTCTCAGTGAACTGCTGCACACAAGCCCTAAACATTTCTTCTGACCGGATGTTCGGCAGGCCCAGAGTTTGCTGGCTAGGCTCAACAGTCTGCAGCTCCTTGCTGGCCGTCGGTTCACTGACCCTGGCGGTCTGCGTCTCGTTGTCGACCAGCTGCCGACCCTCAAGGAGAACCTCCCTGGCGTCTTCGTGGATTGTGTTCATTGCGTGCTGCTTCTCGTGGATTGTGTTCATTGCGTGCTGCTTCTCGTGGATTGTGTTCATTGCGTGCTGCTTCTCGCCGTCTGGCTCTGGGTAGGTCGGGTACGAGTCACTCTGAGCTAAAAGATCCTTCTGGCCTTGTGGCAGGCTATCAGCATCTGCTATGTGCTCGAAGGAAAATACTCGTGGCCTCGCCTTGTTGACAGGTCTGCCCGCAAGGCAAGAGTCGCTCTTTTGTGGTCCCGCACTCGTCTGGGGCCCAATCTTTGGCCCAGTGCAGGCCTCAAGTTTAGCGAAAAAATAGTTTTGATCATCAAGAGTTTTTTTGGAGACCGCCTTAGGCGAGCATTTTCCGCTGATCTCTGCCAGCCGAGACCCCACCTGGACCAGGGTGGGCGGTATGACGACAGAGCCAAGTCTCTCATGGCTCACAGTGGCCCTCGCTAAACGACCAGCGCCGACATTCTCGGCACGTCTATTGCCACCTTTAGCCGCGTCTCTCTGTTTCAACTTTCGGTTTGCTGTCTGTCGGCCTAACGCCGTAGACGATGACGTCATTTTGCCTGACCGATCTAGCTCAGACTGCGATGAGACGAGTACCAGCTTGTACATGATCGGAGAGGCTGCTGGTGAGGCTTGGGGGCGTGATGGTGAGACTTGAGGGCGTGATGACGTTTTCATTGGCAGTCGCGATCGTTTATCTGCTTTCTTGGCACAGAAAATGCCAGGCATAAAAGTTTCGTTGATCTGCGAAAGTTTCAAAGACCTTGACTTGCTTCCTTTGGGTAATATTTCCATGTAGGAAACCTGCTCCCCCTCCAGGCGAACAGTGTGATACGGGGCGTGGTCTGCGCTCAGTGTTGGCAGGACGCCGTTGTGTGTACTTCCCACGGGCACCTCAGACGGCCCCAGGGGGCAACACTCTGGCACCGCTTGTGGACGCGATGACATGGCGGACTGGGAGGAGTCACTGTTGGGCTGACCCACCGGCGTCACACAGTCCACCACAGCGTGCGTCATACAGTCCACCACAGCGTGCGTCTTGGGGCGAACCCATGCAGGCTTGTTACCATAGCTACGTTTAGTGACGTGGTGCTGGGCATGACTGGCTGGATCCGCCGCGAGACACAGGCCTGGATGCTGGCTGTCGACAGAGTCACGTGATCTAGAGCCTAGCAAGCTGCAAGTTTCGAGTATGCGACCTAAAGGTAAAAATTTGGAAGTTTTGTTCTTCCAGGTCGGTGCCCCGATCTGACGTATGCCTCGTCCAGTGACTTGCCCAGGTTGTAAATGTCGTCCACTTGCAGCAGAGCTCTGCTCCACCTGCAGGATGTAGAGATCTGTGGCGCTGGAAACGTTGCTGCACTTGCCCGAGAAGATGGTCGGTGACGCGTGGCACATCAGAGGCGGACATGCGTAGTGGTTATAGGAGGGTGAGGACGGGAGTGATGACGTCATCACGCTGTGAATCGCCTTGGTCGGATGCCTTTTATTGAGGTCATGCAGGATGGATGAGCTGGTCTTGCGACTTGTGAACACTGTGGTGTCAGACACGCTGTGGCCCTGGAGCTTTGGGTACATCCCATGACGACTTTCCTTGGCGCAATCGTGACAAACCTCAGCGAAGTACTTTCTCGTCTGCCATGGCTTTCTATCTGTCTGTACCTTGAGAAAACGAGGACCCAGTTTGTGTTTGGCATCCGTCTCTACTTTGATGTAGCTGGGTCCCACACACTCCTTTGTGTTCATATAGCTCTCCTTCCTGCTAAGGTAACCTCTCTCTTCACGCGGGGAACACTCATTGCGTAAGCGTTGGATGTCGGCTAAATAATCTAACATTGTGCTATGAGAATGAAGTTCATCTTGTGCCTTGTATCTGTGAGACTGAAGGTCCCCTTGTGTCGTGTGTCTCAAAGAAAGAAGGTCCTCTCGTGTCTTGTGTCTTTGAGACTGTGAGTGAAGGTCATCTCGTGTCTTGTGTCTATGAGACTGAAGGTCCCCTTGTGTCGTGTGTCTATGAGACTGAAGGTCCCCTTGTGTTGTGTGTCTCAAAGACTGAAGGTCCCCTTGTGTTGTGTGTCTATGAGACTGTGAGTGAAGGTCATCTCGTGTCTTGTGTCTATGAGACTGCAGGTCCCCTTGTGTTGTGTGTCTCAGAGAATGAAGGTCCTTTTGTGTCTTGTGAGAGCTTGGTTGTATCGATGTGTTGGGGTATCTTGACTGGCGTCTATCACGTTCCCCTAACGAACTTGTTTTAGGCGTGAGTTGACTATGGCACTGTGCGCACCTGTATGTGCTCACGGTGGAGTCCGTCCGGCTGCCGATAGAAGAGATCAACTGGTCAGGGCTGGTTGAACTTGGCTCTGTCCTCAAGGTCAACCCAGCGTGTCTGGCCGGGGGACGGGCAATATCCTCAGTGCTGTTTCTGTCAATGACAAACGAGGGAGAGAGCGAGAAGCTGACATCTGTGCTTGTAGCGTGAAGCGACCTGCACCCAGACGGCCTGGTGGTCTCCGATGAGAGGGAGAAGTTCTTGGGGTAGACCCCAGACTCGCGGTCTCTGCTAGACCTAGCCCGCCCCCTCTCTCGCTGGCCTTGCATTGCTGTGATGGAAAAGCCATAGGGACTATGGGAGCTGTTGTCTGCGCTGCCGAATGATGTTTGGTGCCGTGCCGAGTCGTTGCTCTGGAAGAGTGGAGATTTCTGCCAGAAGTAGCGACTTCTACGTTCAGCACTGCCGTCATGCATGGGGCTCTTCTCATACACGATCTTGTTGGCCATGAGCTGATTGCTCGTGCGTTTTCTTGATGAGACCATGGTGCCAGTTTCTGTGCAAGTTTCCTGCATGCCGTGGTCTTTACTGGGATCACGCAGTAGACGAGACGTGTACTGGCATACAGCACAGGCATTTGAGTGTGTACTGTGTACGCTGGACACGTCACTGGTCGCGCGGTTGGTGGAGAGATCCCTCGTGTCTGTGCTGCCCTCAGACGTTTGCTCTGAGGGCTGCGAGAGATTGTCAGACGTGAAATATTGATGACGTCTCTTTCTGTTGCCGCCCAACTCACTTGATTTCTGCCTGATGTTTCTGCGATTGGCGGAGACATTTCGGATACATGTCTTGTGCATTAAGTCACTCTCGTCTGTTTCGTCAGAACGACTTTGGACTAAATGTAAACGTTTGTCTCCAGATTCGGTTCCCTTAAAATTCCCCGGGGGAATGGGTTCGTCTCTGTGCTTGTCAGGTGACGTGCTTGAGAGATTGTTGGTTGCGATTGAACCAATGGGGTTTCGCATCATCTTCCAGCGTTCATTGAACCTCAAACCCCGACCTGTGCTTTTTCTACATGATGATTGGGTTCGGTCGGCGGAGGGATTTGTTCCCTCAAACTTCCGGTCAGGGCACTTACTGTCAGAACTTTGAATAAACGCTGCAGCCGATGAACCTTGAATTGCCTTTTCTTCCTTTACTAGCTTCGTCACTTTAGTGACGTAATAAGGTGGGGAATCTGGGATATCGGTCAACTTCCGCTTCCTGTTCTGTTTGGTTTGTAGGCTCATGTATGTGTAGATATTAGCGTTGGTGTTAGGGTTGGTATAAGGGATGGTGTTAGGGTTGGTATAAAGGTTAGTGTTAGGATTGGTATAAGGATTAGGGTTAGGATTGGTAAAAGAGGTTGTGTTAGGGTTGGTATAAGGGTTAGTTTTATGGTTGGAATAAGAGTTAGGGTTAGAGTTGTTTCTTTTATCGGGCCCACACCTGCTTCTACACTGGCTCATGTTGGTGAGGGCAGCTGAAGGTGAAGGACGACGATACCTCTGCATGTCTCGGATCGTGTCTCTCATGAGCTCATGCAGCTCGTGTGAGCACTCGTGTATGTTGGTGGCTGTCTGCTGGTTGTCGTTGGCGTCTTTCCTTGAGATCTTCGCACCGGTTCTACCGGCAATAGCAGGTATATCATCTCTACTGGTGTATCGGAGAGGATTCCCAAGGAAATTTCGATTTTTTAGAACGGTTTGTGCATTGTTGCCGAGCAGGGTGAAGGTCGGAACAGTGTGCTCTGTTTGTAAGACAGCCGAACAAGGCCTGTAGGTGATGCGCAGCAGCTCCTCCGTCTGCTTCACGTTGACGTTCAGTTTCTGAGGCTCTATTCCGGACGTCATACTCATACCACTAGATGTTGACGATAGAACGGCATTTCCAGTTTTGCAAATTTGTCGAGAGTTAACTTCCGCTTTCACTTTCCTAACTCGGCTCCAAGATTTCCCGGGGGAACCAATAAAACATGAGCTCTGTGCCTTGCGCTTCTGTCCGGCTATTTGACTTCCAGTTTTAGCTGAAATTTTGGAACCAGTCCCCAAACTACTTTCAAACGATTTCTCTTCACTCAACCATCTGCCTGGGGCAGCTTGCTCGTGTGGCCTGGGCTGTGGGGGCCGAGGAATGCGGCGCTTGATATGGCTCATTGTCCGGCTCCTGTGCTCAGCCTGTGTATGTTGGTGTCGTGAGCTGTTCGCTGTCACCTTGAAATATTGATCTAGAGCCTCGTCAGACAAGGTCAACTGAAGGTCAGACTTGGACTGCTGCGTGAGGGAGCTGCTCCATGATGACGACACGACGGTCTGGCGGGTGGACAGTTCACGGATCTCCACACGACTTTTATCCACGTAGATCAAGTCAGCCTCCTGACTTCTGTCTTCCGCGTCAGAGCAGTAGGTCACATCCGGTCCAGACCTATTGGCCCTGCCCAGTAGGCGTAGCTGGCCCAATCCCAGCCCTCGTCTCTCACGAGGCAGCGCGTAGCTGGGTAGTATGGGCTGGATGAGAGAGTCGCGCCGGCTCAGGATTCTGCGCTGACGTGTGGGGGAAAACAAAACTGTCCGTCTTTTACTTTCTGACTTGTGGAGGAACTTGACGTCATAGGCGTCCTGTGATCCTGAAGGGGGGGGGGGGGGGTAAATATATCCGTCATTGGAGCTTGATACATTCAAATGCTTGCGCGTGATTGTAGCTTATACAATCATTTGATTCTACGTGATAATATGTATACAATTAGATGTAATTAGATGATTGCGTGTGATAGTAGCTTACACAATTACATGATTGCACGTGATTGTAGCTTATACATTTTTTATTGCACATGATTGTAGCTTATACAATTAGATGCCTGGATGTGATTGTAGCTTATACAATTAAATGCTTGGATGTGATTGTAGCTTATACAATTAAATGCTTGGATGTGATTGTAGCTTATACAATTAAATGCTTGGATGTAATTGTAGCTTATACAATTAAATGCTTGGATGTGATTGTAGCTTATACAATGAAATGCTTGGATGTGATTGTAGCTTATACAATGAAATGCTTGGATGTGATTGTAGCTTATACAATGAAATGCTTGGCTGTGATTGTAGCTTATACAATGAAATGCTTGGATGTGATTGTAGCCTATACAATGAAATGCTTGGATGTGATTGTAGCTTATACAATGAAATGCTTGGATGTGGTTGTAGCTTATACAATGAAATGTATGCTGACGCCAACAACAAAAGTATCAGTGGTGACAAAACAAACTCACGGTTTTAAAAGTTAGAGCTAAAAGAGCTAAATATTTAAATGTATAGCGTAAAGTGAGAGCTAAAAATACCTAAATAAGTAACTGAAATAAAAGCGAGAGCTAAAAGAGCTAAATATGTAACAAAGTGAGAGCTAAACAGATCTAAAGAATTAAATCAAATAAAAGCGATAGCTTAAAAGAACTAAACGTGTAACTTAAACAAAGTGAGAGCTAAACAGATGTAAAGAATTAAATTTAAAAAAAAGCGAGAACTAAAAGGAACTAAACATATAACTTAAACAAAGTGAGAGCTGTAACAGCTGTAACAAAGTGAGAGCTGTAACAGATGTAACAAAGTGAGAGCTGTAACAGCTGTAACAAAGTGAGAGCTGTAACAGCTGTAACAAAGTGAGAGCTGTAACAGCTGTAACAAAGTGAGAGCTGTAACAGATGTAACAAAGTGAGAGCTGTAACAGCTGTAACAAAGTGAGAGCTGTAACAGCTGTAACAAAAATAGAGAGCTGTAACAGCTGTAACAAAGTGAGAGCTGTAACAGCTGTAACAAAGTGAGAGCTGTAACAGATGTAACAAAGTGAGAGCTGTAACAGATGTAACAAAGTGAGAGCTGTAACAAAGTGAGAGCTGTAACAGCTGTAACAAAGTGAGAGCTGTAACAGCTGTAACAAAGTGAGAGCTGTAACAGCTGTAACAAAGTGAGAGCTGTAACAGATGTAACAAAGTGAGAGCTGTAACAGCTGTAACAAAGTGAGAGCTGTAACAGCTGTAACAAAGTGAGAGCTGTAACAGCTGTAACAAAGTGAGAGCTGTAACAGCTGTAACAAAGTGAGAGCTGTAACAGATGTAACAAAGTGAGAGCTGTAACAGATGTAACAAAGTGAGAGCTGTAACAAAGTGAGAGCTGTAACAGCTGTAACAAAGTGAGAGCTGTAACAGATGTAACAAAGTGAGAGCTGTAACAGCTGTAACAAAGTGAGAGCTGTAACAGCTGTAACAAAGTGAGAGCTGTAACAGCTGTAACAAAGTGAGAGCTGTAACAGCTGTAACAAAGTGAGAGCTGTAACAGATGTAACAAAGTGAGAGCTGTAACAGATGTAACAAAGTGAGAGCTGTAACAAAGTGAGAGCTGTAACAGCTGTAACAAAGTGAGAGCTGTAACAGCTGTAACAAAGTGAGAGCTGTAACAGCTGTAACAAAGTGAGAGCTGTAACAGATGTAACAAAGTGAGAGCTGTAACAGCTGTAACAAAGTGAGAGCTGTAACAGCTGTAACAAAGTGAGAGCTGTAACAGCTGTAACAAAGTGAGAGCTGTAACAGCTGTAACAAAGTGAGAGCTGTAACAGATGTAACAAAGTGAGAGCTGTAACAGATGTAACAAAGTGAGAGCTGTAACAAAGTGAGAGCTGTAACAGCTGTAACAAAGTGAGAGCTGTAACAGATGTAACAAAGTGAGAGCTGTAACAGCTGTAACAAAGTGAGAGCTGTAACAGCTGTAACAAAGTGAGAGCTGTAACAGCTGTAACAAAGTGAGAGCTGTAACAGCTGTAACAAAGTGAGAGCTGTAACAGATGTAACAAAGTGAGAGCTGTAACAGATGTAACAAAGTGAGAGCTGTAACAAAGTGAGAGCTGTAACAGCTGTAACAAAGTGAGAGCTGTAACAGATGTAACAAAGTGAGAGCTGTAACAGCTGTAACAAAGTGAGAGCTGTAACAGCTGTAACAAAGTGAGAGCTGTAACAGCTGTAACAAAGTGAGAGCTGTAACAGATGTAACAAAGTGAGAGCTGTAACAGATGTAACAAAGTGAGAGCTGTAACAAAGTGAGAGCTGTAACAGCTGTAACAAAGTGAGAGCTGTAACAGCTGTAACAAAGTGAGAGCTGTAACAGCTGTAACAAAGTGAGAGCTGTAACAGATGTAACAAAGTGAGAGCTGTAACAGATGTAACAAAGTGAGAGCTGTAACAAAGTGAGAGCTGTAACAGCTGTAACAAAGTGAGAGCTGTAACAGCTGTAACAAAGTGAGAGCTGTAACAGATGTAACAAAGTGAGAGCTGTAACAGATGTAACAAAGTGAGAGCTGTAACAGATGTAACAAAGTGAGAGCTGTAACAAAGTGAGAGCTGTAACAGCTGTAACAAAGTGAGAGCTGTAACAGCTGTAACAAAGTGAGAGCTGTAACAGATGTAACAAAGTGAGAGCTGTAACAGATGTAACAAAGTGAGAGCTGTAACAAAGTGAGAGCTGTAACAGCTGTAACAAAGTGAGAGCTGTAACAGATGTAACAAAGTGAGAGCTGTAACAGCTGTAACAAAGTGAGAGCTGTAACAGCTGTAACAAAGTGAGAGCTGTAACAGCTGTAACAAAGTGAGAGCTGTAACAGATGTAACAAAGTGAGAGCTGTAACAGATGTAACAAAGTGAGAGCTGTAACAAAGTGAGAGCTGTAACAGCTGTAACAAAGTGAGAGCTGTAACAGCTGTAACAAAGTGAGAGCTGTAACAGCTGTAACAAAGTGAGAGCTGTAACAGATGTAACAAAGTGAGAGCTGTAACAGATGTAACAAAGTGAGAGCTGTAACAAAGTGAGAGCTGTAACAGCTGTAACAAAGTGAGAGCTGTAACAGCTGTAACAAAGTGAGAGCTGTAACAGATGTAACAAAGTGAGAGCTGTAACAAAGTGAGAGCTGTAACAGCTGTAACAAAGTGAGAGCTGTAACAAAGTGAGAGCTGTAACAGATGTAACAAAGTGAGAGCTGTAACAGATGTAACAAAGTGAGAGCTGTAACAGATTTAACAAAGTGAGAGCTGTAACAGCTGTAACAAAGTGAGAGCTGTAACAGCTGTAACAAAGTGAGAGCTGTAACAGCTGTAACAAAGTGAGAGCTGTAACAGATGTAACAAAGTGAGAGCTGTAACAGCTGTAACAAAGTGAGAGCTGTAACAGCTGTAACAAAGTGAGAGCTGTAACAGATGTAACGACGTACGTGTATCGGTGTGACAGGGTGTAGCGGCGTCTGGTACCAATGGGGCCTCCAGCATAGCCTGACGTTCCTGTGAGCTGAGCCTGACGCACGTGATGCTCACCCTGTAACTGTCGTCTTTGGGCAGGATGATCTTGTACCCCTCCACACCGTCTGCTCGAACCACGCTAGAGTTCTGACCCGCGCTTTCCTGACCTTGTGAGGTCGGAGGTTGGCTAAAGTAACCTTGACCTTCGGAGGTTAGCTGTGGGTTTTGGTGACCTTGTGAGGTCTGTTGTGGGTTAAGGTGACTTTGTGAGGTCAAACGACGGTCATGTTGACTTTCTGATGTTAGCTGCGAGTTATAATGACCTTGTGAGGCCAACCTTGGGTTCAATTGACCTTGTGAGGTAATCTCCGGGTCAATCGCCTGTACTGACCTAGATACGTAGAGAACGTCTTTAGGCGACAGAAAGACGTCATCGTCGTCTGATATGTGCTCACTCGTGTGACCTTTGTACGGTGACGTCACTTCGGTTACTTCACGTGGGTACTGCCCGCCAGTAAGTAGGTCAGGGTGAACTCTGAAGGTCGGCTCGCTGTCTAAGATGATGTTGTCGCCCTTGTCCACGTACTTGTAGTTCCTGTTGTCTGTCAGCGTGCTGCTCGTCTGGTGCTGGCTGGTGTCGTCTGATGACGTCATGACGTTCTCATAGGCCGATGCTTCAGCGCTGACCTCACCGTGGGTGACGTCAGAAGGTCTTGCCCTAGACCACGCCCCTCGCTGTGAGCCCTCCCCCGCCGGGTTGATGACTGAAAGACAACATACACTTAATTTATGTGCTCTACGTCACACAACATGGCCGCTCCAATATTTTATTTGGTGCACCGTCAAAACAGCCTGGTACAATATGACCCTGTCAAAACGGCCCCGTCAATATGACCCCGTCAAATCGACCCCCGACAAAACGACGCAGTCAAAATAGCCCCGTCAAGAGGGCCGACATATTAGCTCTTGTCAAAGCGGCTCCCGACATATTGGCTCCCGACATATTGGCTGTCGACAAAGAGGCTCCCGAAAAATGACCCTAGACAAATGAATCGTATGACCACTCTTAAAATAAAAGTAACCATTTTGTCCTACCTCCACTACCACTATAAACCATTTTGTTCTACCTCCACTACCACTATAAACCATTTTGTCCTACCTCCACTACCACTATAAACCATTTTGTCCTACCTCCACTACCACTATAAACCCTTTTTGTTCTACCTCCACTACCACTATAAACCATTTTGTCCTACCTCCACTACCACTATAAACCATTTGGTTCTACCTCCACTACCACTATAAACCATTTTGTCCTACCCCCACTACCACTATAAACCATTTTGTTCTACCCCCACTACCACTATAAACCATTTTGTCCTACCCCCACTACCACTATAAACCATTTTGTCCTACCTCCACTACCACTATAAACCATTTTGTCCTACCTCCACTACCACTATAAACCATTTGTCCTACCTCCACTACCACTATACACCATTTTGTCCTACCTCCACTACCACTATAAACCATTTTGTTCTACCTCCACTACCACTATAAACCATTTTGTCCTACTTCACGACCACTATAAACCATTTTGTCCTACCCCCACTACCACTATAAACCATTTTGTCCTACCTCCACTACCACTATAAACAATTTTGTTCTACCTCCACTACCACTATAAACCCTTTTTGTTCTACCTCCACTACCACTATAAACCATTTTGTTCTACCTCCACTACCACTATAAACCATTTTGTCCTACTTCCACTATAACTATAAACCATTTAGTCCTACCTCCACTACCACTATAAACCATTTTGTCCTACCTCCACTACCACTATAAACTCTTCTAAATGCTAGAATGAACCTGCAGTAATTCACAAACAACTCGAGGCCTTAGCAGCTACATTCCACCAATTTTAAAATGTTGATATTGTTCCATTTACAACAGTAAAGATCTGTTGCTTAAAAGCGAGCACAGAAGTTTAAATGTACAGTACACATGATGTTTACGGTATAACTGCATTTTGTTTTGAAAACCTACAAGCATACTGCAGGTAGGAAGGTACACTGAGTTGGAAAAGCCTATAACCGACTCATACGGAAGTCATAACTATGATAACTAGATGACCATTAAATTTAAAACATTACTTCTTATACTAGACAAAATAATATAAAAATAAAGATTACTTACTACTAAGAGTGTTGGCTATGCTAACTTTAAATAGTTTTGGAGAAGTGGTCCTACTGGCAGGTGTCAGTGGTCCTACTGGCAGGTGTCAGTGGTCCTACTGGCAGGTGTCAGTGGTCCTACTGGCAGGTGTCAATGGTCCTACTGGCAGGTGTCAGTGGTCCTACTGGCAGGTGTCAGTGGTCCTACTGGCAGGTGTCAGTGGTCCTACTGGCAGGTGTCAATGGTCCTACTGGCAGGTGTCAGTGGTCCTACTGGCAGGTGTCAGTGGTCCTACTGGCAGGTGTCAGTGGTCCTACTGGCAGGTGTCAGTGGTCCTACTGGCAGGTGTCAGTGGTCCTACTGGCAGGTGTCAATGGTCCTACTGGCAGGTGTCAATGGTCCTACTGGCAGGTGTCAATGGTCCTACTGGCAGGTGTCAGTGGTCCTACTGGCAGGTGTCAATGGTCCTACTGGCAGGTGTTAGTGGTCCTACTGGCAGGTGTCAGTGGTCCTACTGGCAGGTGTCAGTGGTCCTACTAGCAGGTGTCAGTGGTCCTTCTGGCAGGTGTCAGTGGTCCTACTGGCAGGTGTCAGTGGTCCTACTGGCAGGTGTCAGTGGTCCTTCTGGCAGGTGTCAGTGGTCCTACTGGCAGGTGTCAGTGGTCCTACTGGCAGGTGTCAATGGTCCTACTGGCAGGTGTCAATGGTCCTACTGGCAGGTGTCAGTGGTCCTACTGGCAGGTGTCAATGGTCCTACTGGCAGGTGTCAGTGGTCCTACTGGCAGGTGTCAGTGGTCCTACTGGCAGGTGTCAGTAGTCCTACTGGCAGGTGTCAGTGGTCCTACTGGCAGGTGTCAGTGGTCCTTCTGGCAGGTGTCAGTGGTCCTACTGGCAGGTGTCAATGGTCCTACTGGCAGGTGTCAATGGTCCTACTGGCAGGTGTCAATGGTCCTACTGGCAGGTGTCAGTGGTCCTACTGGCAGGTGTCAATGGTCCTACTGGCAGGTGTCAGTGGTCCTACTGGCAGGTGTCAGTGGTCCTACTGGCAGGTGTCAGTAGTCCTACTGGCAGGTGTCAGTGGTCCTACTGGCAGGTGTCACTGGTCCTACTGGCAGGTGTCTGTGGTCCTACTGGCAGGTGTCAATGGTCCTACTGGCAGGTGTCAATGGTCCTACTGGCAGGTGTCAGTAGTCCTACTAGCAGGTGTCAATGGTCCTACTGGCAGGTGTCAGTGGTCCTACTGGCAGGTGTCAGTGGTCCTACTGGCAGGTGTCAGTGGTCCTACTGGCAGGTGTCAGTGGTCCTTCTGGCAGGTGTCAGTGGTCCTACTGGCAGGTGTCAGTGGTCCTACTGGCAGGTGTCAGTGGTCCTTCTGGCAGGTGTCAGTGGTCCTTCTGGCAGGTGTCAGTGGTCCTACTGGCAGGTGTCAATGGTTCTACTGGCAGGTGTCAGTGGTCATACTGGCAGGTGTCAGTGGTCCTACTGGCAGGTGTCAGTGGTCCTACTGGCAGGTGTCAGTGGTCCTACTGGCAGGTGTCAGTGGTCCTACTGGCAGGATTCAGTGGTCCTACTGGCAGGTGTCACTGGTCCTACTGGCAGGTGTCAGTGGTCCTACTGGCAGGTGTCAGTGGTCCTTCTGGCAGGTGTCAATGGTCCTACTGGCAGGTGTCAATGGTCCTTCTGGCAGGTGTCAGTGAGGACGTTTCGCCGGGAGACTTAGTCTCTACGTAGACCGTCTTGACAGAGTCCATATGTCGGGAACCAAAATGACAGGAGCCAATTTTTTGGACGTCGTAATGACGGGAGCCGTTTTGTCGAGAGCCAAATTGACAGGAGGCTATATGTCGTGAGCCTTATTGACTGGAGCCCTTTTGTTGGGAGCCTATTTGTCAGGAGCCTGAATAAGGGGTGCCTATTATTTCGGGAGCCTATTTGTCGGAAGCCTACATGACGGGGTCCATTTGTCGCTGGCCCTTTTGACTGTGTCGATTTTACGGGACTCTTATGTCGGGGCCGTTTTGTAGGAGTTGTTTTGACGGGGCCATTTTGTCATTGGCCGTGTTGACGCCGCACGATTTTGTGTGCTCTACGTCACACAACATGGCCTCCATGCAACACGACAGTGAGGACAATTCTAATCAAGTTGTCCTATTGTTCAACCAATTCTAATCAAGTTGTCCTATTGTTCAACCAATTCTAATCAAGTTGTCCTATTGTTCAACCAATTCTAATCAAGTTGTCCTATTGTTCAACCAATTCTAATCAAGTTGTCCTATTGTTCAACCAATTCTAATCAAGTTGTCCTATTGTTCAACCAATTCTAATCAAGTTGTCCTATTGTTCAACCAATTCTAATCAAGTTGTCCTATTGTTCAACCAATTCTAATCAAGTTGTCCTATTGTTCAACCAATTCTAATCAAGTTGTCCTATTGTTCAACCAATTCTAATCATGTTGTCCTATTGTTCAACCAATTCTAATCAAGTTGTCCTATTGTTCAACCAATTCTAATCAAGTTGTCCTATTGTTCAACCAATTCTAATCAAGTTGTCCTATTGTTCAACCAATTCTAATCAAGTTGTCCTTTTGTTCAACCAATTCTAATCAAGTTGTCCTATTGTTCAACCAATTCTAATCAAGTTGTCCTATTGTTCAACCAATTCTAATCAAGTTTTCCTATTGTTCAACCAATCGTCATCGAGGACTTGACACATCAGCCAACCAATCGTCTGTTAGCACGTGTGTCATCAGTCAACCAATCGTCTGTTAGCACGTGTGTCATCAGTCAACCAATCGTCTGTTAGCACGTGTCTCATCAGCCAACCAATCGGTGTTTAGCACGTGTGTCATCAGTCAACCATTCGTCTGTTAGCACGTGTGTCATCAGTCAACCAATCGTCTGTTAGCACGTGTGTCATCAGCCAACCAATCGTCTGTTAGCACGTGTGTCATCAGCCAACCAATCGTCTGTTAGCACGTGTGTCATCAGTCAACCAATCGTCTGTTAGCACGTGTGTCATCAGCCAACCAATCGTCTGTTAGCACGTGTGTCATCAGCCAACCAATCGTCTGTTAGCACGTGTGTCATCAGCCAACCAATCGTCTGTTAGCACGTGTGTCATCAGTCAACCAATCGGTGTTTAGCACGTGTGTCATCAGTCAACCAATCGTCTGTTAGCACGTGTCACACCAGTCAACCAATCGTTGTTTAATACGTGTGTCATCAGTCAACCAATCGTCTGTTAGCACGTGTGTCATCAGTCAACCAATCGTTGTTTAGCACGTGTCACACCAGTCAACCAATCGTTGTTTATTACGTGTTTCATCAGTCAACCAATCGTGTGTTAGCACGTGTCTCATCAGTCAACCAATCGTTGTTTAGCACGTGTCACATCAGTCAACCAATCGTTGTTTAGTACGTGTCACATCAGTCAACCAATCGTTGTTTAGAACGTGTGTCATCAGTCAAGCATCAAGCACCCATGAAGACCACGTGACCCACCGTTAGCAGAGATGGAGCTACTGAAGCACCGGACAGCAGACGAGCCAGACAGGGTGGCACTAGAGGAAGACTCAGTTCTGTCCGAGCCTGCAGGCCGCGCGGTCCTATCTACAGCGATCTCAGTCCTCCAGTGGTAGAGCAATCTGAGGGGAGCGTCGGTTGTGGGGTGGGGAACGTGAGATGTGGGGGGCGTGTGATGTGGGGGGAGTGTATGGTGTGTGTGGTGGGAGCTTGTGATTTGGGGGGCGTGTGATGTGGGGGAGAGTGTGATGTGGGAGAGCGTGTGATGTGGGGGAGCGTGTGATGTGGGGGGGGCGTGTGATGTGGGGGGTGGAGTGTATGGTGTGTGTGATGGGAGCTTGTGATGTGGGGGAAAAGGTGATGTGGGAGAGCGTGTGATGTGGGGGAGAGTGTGATGTGGGGGAGAGTGTAATGTGGGGGAGTGTATGGTGTGTGTGATGGGAGCTTGTGATGTGGGGGAAAAGGTGATGTGGGAGAGCGTGTGATGTGGGGGAGAGTGTGATGTGGGGGAGAGTGTGATGTGGGGGAGCGTGTGATGTGGGGGAGAGTGTGATGTGGGGGAGTGTATGGTGTGTGTGATGGGAGCTTGTGATGTGGGGGAAAAGGTGATGTGGGAGAGCGTGTGATGTGGGGGAGAGTGTGATGTGGGGGAGAGTGTGATGTGGGGGAGCGTGTGATGTGGGGGAGAGTGTGATGTGGGGGAGAGTGTGATGTGGGGGAGCGTGTGATGTGGGGGAGAGTGTGATGTGGGGGAGAATGTGATGTGGGGGAGAGTGTGATGTGGGGGAGCGTGTGATGTGGGGGAAAGTGTGATGTGGGGGAGCGTGTGATGTGGGGGAGAGTGTGATGTGGGGGAGAATGTGATGTGGGGGAGCGTGTGATGTAGGGGGAGAATGTGATGTAGGGGGAGAGTGTGATGTGGGGGAGAGTGTGATGTGGGGGAGAATGTGATGTAGGGAGAGCGTGTGATGTGGGGGAGAGTGTGATGTGGGGGAGCGCGTGATGTGGGGGAGAGTGCGATGTGGGGGAGAATGTGATGTAGGGGGAGAGTGTGATGTGGGGGAGAGTGTGATGTAGGGGAGAGTGTAATGTGGTGGAGAATGTGATGGTGGGGGAGCGCGTGATGTGGGGGAGAGTGCGATGTGGGGGAGAATGTGATGTAGGGGGAGAATGTGATGGTGGGGGAGCGCGTGATGTGGGGGAGAGTGCGATGTGGGGGAGAATGTGATGTAGGGGGAGCGTGTGATGTAGGGGGAGAATGTGATGTAGGGGGAGAGTGTGATGTGGGGGAGAATGTGATGTAGGGGGAGAGTGTGATGTGGGGGAGAATGTGATGTAGGGGGAGAGTGTGATGTGGGGGAGAATGTGATGTAGGGGGAGAGTGTGATGTGGGGGAGAATTAGATGTAGGGAGAGCGTGTGATGTGGGGGAGCGTGTGATGTGGGGGGTGTGTGATGTGGGGGGGACGTTAAGATATGGTGGGGAGGTGTGATTTGGGGGGGGGGGGGAGGAACGTGAGATGTGGGGGAGCGTGGCTGTAGCGGGAGTGTGTGGTGTGTGTGGGAGGAGCGTGTGATGTGGGGGGGGGGGAGCATAAGATGTGGCGAGGGGGAAGGATTAAGGTGGTTTAACTTACAATCAATTAGACACGTGTGTATATCTGTATCTAAAGTTAGACGCACGTGTGTATATCTATCTAAAGTTAGACGCACGTGTGTATATCTGTATCTAAAAATAGACGCACGTGTGTAAAGATGGGAGTTACAGCTTGGAGTGTCACAACATATGACGTCAGAACTTCCAGTGGTAGCACAAAAATAAACCAACCATATCGGACAGACACCGGCCAATCAAACAGTGGACAGTCAAACAACCAGACAACCAGTTGATCAAACAACCAGACAACCAGTTGATCAAACAACCAGACAACCAGCCAACCAAACAACCAGACAACCAAACAACCAGACAACCAGACAACCAGTTGATCAAACAACCCGACAACCAGTTGATCAAACAACCAGACAACCAGTTGATCAAACAACCCGATAACCAGTTGATCAAACAACCAGACAACCAGACAACCAGTTGATCAAACAACCAGACAACCAGCCAACCAAACAACCAGACAACCAGTTGATCAAACAATCAGACAACCAGTTGATCAAACAACCCGACAACCAGTTGATCAAACAACCAGACAACCAGTTGATCAAACAACCAGACAACCAGCCAACCAAACAACTAGACAACCAGTTGATCAAACAAACAGACAACCAGTTGATCAAACAACCAGACAACAAGACAACCAGACAACCAGATGAGACGAGCCACATAAGGGGCGGTAACTCACGACAAAAAGATGGCGACGGTCAGGCTAGCCGAGATGATGGCAATTAAAATGCTGTTGAAGGGAGAGGCCTGGAGCCATTCCTGGAACGTCGGCTCTACTTCCTCTTCAGGTACAACAACTGGGGATCAAACATGGATGTCAGGGCTGGTTGATTAGTGGGACAACTACTGGGGATCAAACATGGATGTCAGGGCTGGTGGATTAGTGGGACAACAACTGGGGATCAAACATGGATGTCAGGGCTGGTGGATTAGTGGGACAACAACTGGGGATCAAACATGGATGTCAGGGCTGGTGGATTAGTGGGACAACAACTGGGGATCAAACATGGATGTCAGGGCTGGTGGATTAGTGGGACAACAACTGGGGATCAAACATGGATGTCAGGGCTGGTGGATTAGAGGTACACGGGGGTACAAAAGTAGAACAACAGTCAATTGATGGGACGACAACTGGGGATCAAATATTAAATTAACGACAACTGGTTTAATACTAGTACTAGGGTCATTTAAAAGTGGTGGTAAGTGAATTTTGGAGGAAATGGTGTAGAATAGTGGCATACATTCGATACAATTATGGTGCTACATGGGGTAGATTGATGAAACCATAACCAATGATGTTATCGTTGTACATCAATGAAACCATAACCAATGAAGTTAATGTAGTACATCAATGAAGCCGTAACCAATGATGTTATGTTGCACATCAATGAAGCCGTAACCAATGATGTTATGTTGCACATCAATGAAACCATAACCAATGATGTTATGTTGCACATCAATGATGCCATAACCAATGATGTTATGGTTGTACATCAATGAAACTTTCTATCTAAATTAAGCATGTGCTTAAAAACGCTTAGATGTAAGTAAATATAATTACTCTAATACAAAGAATATTCCCAAAATTGTTTGTGTTTTAAAATTTTATAACATTGATATTTGTTATCTTTAACTTCTTAATGTTTCAGTTTTTTTTTCTCTCCAAAGACATAGACCACAATACGCATTTAGCCCATTGTTTAACATCATTGATTGGATCTATTTGGATCCCTTCATACAATTAGTGTCACATATTTATGAGATTTACAATTACTGTCACAAAACTAGATCGATGTCGTTTAACATAATATTCAAGAACAATTACTGTCACAAAACTAGATCGATGTTGTTTAACATAATATTCAAGAACAATTACTGTTACAAGCATATGAAAATTAAAATCTCGAAACAACATGATAACCATTACAGTTATTGAAACCAAATTATGACAATTAGAACTATTAAAACCCAATTATTACCATTACAACAAAAAAACTATAAAGTGGGGCTGTCAAAAATCAGAAGTTCCTGTACGATCAATGTTTGTCTTACATAGGCTTGATGAAAATAAATAGAAATGTACTATTGAAAACAAATTATGACCAGGCATTAGAACTATTGAAACCAAATTATGACCATTGGAACAATTGAAACCAAATTATGACCATTGGAACAATTGAAACTAAATTATGATTATTCGAAATGGTCGAAAAACATACCCTCTGGTGGACTAGTGCCCAGAAATTTTGACAATCCTTTCAACATTGTTCATCTGGGCGACCATTTCGGTGCGACAGTTCCGTGTTCAGCAATGGTGCGTCTCAGTGCATCTATGTGCAATGGTGCGTACTCAGTGCATCTATGTAAAAGTTAGAACGGAGAAGCAAACAGATTGTGCCAGTATCTAAGACCACAGACTTGTAGGATGTGTTTTATTACTTTCTTAAATAGACTCGAAAAGCTGGTTCCAAATTTGTTGTTGCCAGAAAGCACATTTTTAATTGAATATTTAATAGTATTTATGTTTTAAGTACATCCTTACATCATTTCATTAAGGCTAGAAATAATCAAAGAAATAATTATTAGTTATATAATACTAACTTATCAACCGCGTTTATTTTTAATTTGGATTAGAAGAGGCATGGTGTTCAGGTGATTAGGGATTTTATATTATTTATTATTAATATACACCATAGATTACAATGGCATATTTTTATCATGGAAAATAATTGTTCTGTTATTGTTTTACTCTCCCTGGCCATTCCGGTAGACTTTATGGAAAGGTTGAGGGCAGTTTTTGAAAATATATGAATTGATAAAATAATTCTAAACGGCTCTCCAGCGGCTTATATTCGATACAAAAATATAAAAAATTAGTGTAATCGATGGTGTCCGAACGGTTGTAATTTTTACCATGGTAACTATAATTTTATCGTTTGCAAAATTTAATTATTTTATAGCATTTTTTGAGTATCATTACTAGACTTTTCATGCCTAATGTAGATGATTTATATGCTATTATGGGGGTAAAAAAAGGTGCTATAGATCTGAGTTATATTCCAACATTTTATTTTATATTTTTTTATGATTGCCTTTTTGAAAATTTATTCATTCAATTTTTCTTTGATTTTGTGTTTGCTAGTTTACACTACTTGTAGTGTTAGTTATTTCGTGAACCACTAGTTGAATATAAACCCTAACCATAACCCAATATTAACCATAACCCAACACTATCTCAACCCTAACCCTTACCCTAACATTAACCCAACCATACCACACCACCCCTAACCCAACCCAACCCCTTTAAAAGCAGTTTCGAATAGACTGGAACGTCAGCAAGTCGCGCCAGGGGAAACAATCAATACACAATTCTTTTTAGAGCTAGCGCCCTTGTCATCTGTGAATTACTTTGATTATTGCCCAACTTCTGATTGAACTTGTGAATAGTCCAGTCTCAATAGCAGTCAGAATACTTATAGACACAGGATACAGACTCAAATATCAAGGTTGGTACATTTTAATATCATATAGTGTATATAATAAATGCATGTATAATTACATTTTTTAAATGTTTGAAAGGCTTTACGATCTAGTATGTACATAAGTGTTATTATGGGATAAAATTTGACAATAATTGTGTTTGTTAATCAATTGCTTAACACGGTATTTTTATTAAATATACGGAAGCTAGCACCTTACAAAAATACACAATTAAAAAAAAACCTACACATTTCCCAAAACTACACATTTCACAAAACTACACATTTCACAAAACTACACATTAAAAAACTACACATTTCACAAAACTACACATTTCACACAAAGACACATTCACAAAACGACAGAATTGTTGAATATATGCAAGGTTACGTTTCTTATAATATGAACACAGTTCACATATAAAAAAAAACCTACACATTTCCCAAAACTACACATTTCACAAAATTACACATTTCACAAAACTACACATTAAAAAACTACACATTTCACAAAACTACACATTTCACACAAAGACACATTCACAAAACGACAGAATTGTTGAATATATGCAAGGTTACGTTTCTTATAATATGAACACAGTTCACATGATTAACATAAACATGAACAGGAATCCCGTGATTTAGATGTTGTGGACTACGTTATTGACACGTTATTGACACGTTTCGAATTTTACAACTGCTCAAGACAAGTGTCAAATCTAAAATCCTGACGTCACATATCAGTAGAACAAACTTTGATGAGGACTAAATGTAAAATGTGCAATGATAATGTTGTATACATGGATCAGTTGGGTCTACTTGGCCTTGAGTCTGACCTCTAGCACCATGAGGATTCCAACGATTAATTCCAGACCAAGGGCGGCCACTGCCAGACCAAAAGAGAATCCCAGGCGGTCAAGGCTGTCAGGGCCACTGACCTCATCGTCCAGTTCATATTTGGCGCCAAAAATGATGACAGCTATCAGCCAGAACAGAGCTGGAATATAAGTTCATGTTTAAAGATTCATTAACCGTGAACATAGTTCAGTTTAATGAGAAGTCTGACAATGTTGACGTCTGTCTGTTCATGTCTGACAATGTTGACGTCTGTGTGTTCATGTCTGACAATGTTGACGTCTGGAAGTTTTCATGTTTTAGGGTGACGAAAGTGTCTTAAGACAAGTAACATCTTAAGACACGTAGATAGGTAACGCACTCAGTTACATATATATATATATATATATATATATATATATATATATATATATATATAGGCCTATATATATATATATATATATATATATATATATATATTTATATATATATATTTATATATATATATTTATATAAATAAAATGAACATCACCTACAAGATGACACTATAACAATGTGTTAGTGACCATAAAACTATAAGATGACCATGAAACGTATATGACGTCATATGCAAGTGTGTAGATTACGCCATAGTGTGTAGATTACGCCATAGTGTGTAGATTACGCCATAGTGTGTAGATGACGTCATAGTGTGTAGGTGACGTCATAAGGTGTAGGTGACGTCATAGTGTGTAGGTGACGTCATAGTGTGTAGGTGACGTCATAGTGTGTAGGTGACGTACCAGTAAAGATGCAGACGAGCGATAGTGTGTAGATGACGTCATAGTGTGTAGATGACGTCATAGTGTGTAGATGTCATAGTTTGTATATGACGTCATAGTGTGTAGGTGACATCATAGTGTGTAGGTGACGTACCAGTAAAGATGCAGACGAGCGATAGTGTGTAGATGACGTTATAGTGTGTAGGTGACGTACCAGTAAAGATGCAGACGAGCGATAGTGTGTAGATGACGTTATAGTGTGTAGGTGACGTACCAGTAAAGATGCAGACGAGCGATAGTGTGTAGATGACGCCGTAGTGTGTAGGTGACGCCATAGTGTGTAGGTGACGCCATAGTGTGTAGATGACGTCATAGTGTGTAGGTGACGCCATAGTGTGTAGATGACGCCGTAGTGTGTAGATGACGTCATAGTGTGTAGGTGACGCCATAGTGTGTAGATGACGCCATAGTGTGTAGATGACGTCATAGATGTGTGTAGATGACGTACCAGTAAAGATGCAGACGAGCGCCGCCACAAAGCCCGTCTCCCTGTTGCCCTTACAGCTGGCACCGAACATGTAGAGAGCGATGGTGACGACAGCGACGTTGATGCCCATGAAGCCGATGATGGCGAAGGCTTGGAACACGCCGAACCAGACTGTCAATAGATCACGTGGTGGTTAGTTTTCTAAAAATAATTTACGACTTAAATACAGGCCAAACTTACCTTAAGGGTAGCCAAACTTACCTTTAGGGTAGCCAAACGTACCTTTAGGGTAATCAAACTTACCTTTAGGGTAGCCAAACTTACCTTGTGAGTAGCCAAGCTTACCTTTAGGGTAGCCAAACTTACCTTTAGGGTAGCCAAACTTACATTTAGGGTAGCCAAACTTACCTTGAGGGTAGCCAAACTTACCTTTAGGGTAATCAAACTTACCTTTAGGGTAGCCAAACTTACCTTGAGGGTAGCCAAACTTACCTTTAGGGTAGCCAAACTTACCTTTAGGGTAGCCAAACTTACATTTAGGGTAGCCAAACTTACCTTTAGGGTAGCAAAACTTACATTTAGGGTAGCCAAACTTACCTTTAGGGTAGCCAAACTTACCTTTAGGGTAGCCAAAATGGTCAACGGAAAAAAGTCACGGGAAAAAAAGTCACAGAAAAAAAGTCACAAAAATCTTTTCATAAATATTTTGATTCATTTGTTGAAAATAATAAAATTGTGTATGTTAATTGTTGTGGGTTGTATTTTTTGATAGCATATATTATTTATAGACGCTAAAAGCATTATAGTTTATAACAATTGTAAGTAAAAATATTCTAAGATAATTTACACAACAATCTCAACTTTTGCTACGTATTTAGTTAAATACGCGGTAGAAAAATTAATTATAAAATGAATTTAGGCACATCATTTTGTTTTGCATATGTTTTGCCGTAGGCTATTCTATGGTCGGCCTCTCCTCAGTCGGCCTTGTCCAAACATATTGTGTGTTGTTGACGTTTTGTGTCAATGACAGCCTTTGAACCTTGTCGGCTTTCTGTTTAGAAAGTTTTTTTTTTCTAAATGAGCGTGATAAATGTGGGCAGTAAAGGTGGTTGAACTAAACATAACTATTGTTGCGATGAGTTGAGGGCAGGAAGTCAGGTGTTGGTATTAAAAAAAACAACACCCAATGAAACCGTGTACTTTGGAGCATTCTATTAAATGCTATTAATATTATGTTTAACATAATTACAATCACATACTTTATATTAAATATTTTTAGATTAATTATACAAATTACTATGCGTATACAACCTACACACATTACATTAGATTTAATTAATCCTAAGTTAATTTGCACTCTCTGAATATTTAAAACATAAAAGTATTAACAAATTCCATGTAAATATATATTTGTGACTTTTTTTCCTGTGTCTTTTTTTCTTTTTTTGTTTTTGTTTTTTTTGTGGGTTTTTTTGCTGGTCCATTTTTTCCCTACAATCGCCAACATTACCACTAGGGTAGCCAAACTTACCTATAGGGTAGCCAAACTTACCTATACGGTAGCCAAACTTACGATAAGGGTAGCCAAACACATTTAGGGTAGGCAAACTTACCTTAAGGGTAGCCAAAATTACCACAAGGGTAGCCAAAATTACCACTAGGGAAGCCAAAATTACCAATAGGGAAGCCAATCTTACCTTTAGGGTAGCCATCCAGCATCACACACACCTGGCCCTGGCACCTTCGCCATATACCTGTGTACACGGTGTCGCTGTTGACGCCCCATGACGAGGTGGTGAAGGCGATCCAGCTGTAGACGGGAATCACGTGATAAGCTACAATTGCAGCGGTAAACTTTCATCGTACAGATACAATCTACCACTCACCTGACTACATCTACCACTCACCTGACTACATCTACCACTCACCTGACTACATCTACCACTCACCTGACTATATCTACCACTCACCTGATCTACCACATCTACCACTCACCTGACTACATCTACCACTCACTTGACTACACCTACTACTCACCTGATCTACCACGCACCTGACTACATCCACCACTCACCTGTCTACATCTACCACTCACCTGACTACACCTACCACTCACCTGACTACACCTACCACTCACCTGACTACACATACCACTCACCTGACTACAACTACCAGTCACCTGACTACAACTACCACTCACCTGACTACACATACCACTCACCTGACTACATCTACCACTCACCTGACTACATCTACCACTCACCTGACTACATCCACCACTCACCTGACTACAACTACCACTCACCTGTCTACACCTACCACTCACCTGACTACACCTACCACTCACCTGACTACATCCACCACTCACCTGACTACACCTACCACTCACCTGACTACACCTACCACTCACCTGACTACATCCACCACTCACCTGACTACACCTACCACTCACCTGACTACATCTACCACTCACCTGATCTACCACTCACCTGACTACACCTACCACTCACCTGACTACGCCTACCACTCACCTGACTACACTTACCACTCACCTGACTACATCTACCATAACCTGACTACATCTACCACTCATCTGACTACACCTACTATTCACCTGATCTACCACTCACCTGACTACATCTACCACTCACCTGACTACAATTATCACTCACCTGACTACATCTACCACTCACCTGACTACATCTACCACTCACCTGACTACACCTACCACTCACCTGACTACGCCTACCACTCACCTGACTACACTTACCACTCACCTGACTACATCTACCATAACCTGACTACATCTACCACTCATCTGACTACACCTACTACTCACCTGATCTACCACTCACCTGACTACATCTAACACTCACCTGACTATATCTACCACTCACCTGACTACACCTACCACTCACCTGACTACATCTACCACTCACCTGACTACACCTACCACTCACCTGACTACACTTACCACTCACCTGATCTACCACTCACCTGACTACACCTACCACTCACCTGACTACACCTACCACTCACCAGACTACATCTACCACTCACCAGACTATATCTACCACTCACCTGACTACATCCACAACTCACCTGACTACAACTACCAGTCACCTGACTACAACTACCACTCACCTGACTACAACTACCACTCACCTGACTACAACTACCACTCACCTGACTACAACTACCACTCACCTGACTACATCCACCACTCACCTGACTACAACTACCACTCACCTGACTACAACTACCACTCACCTGACTACACCTACCACTCACCTGACTACACCTACCACTCACCTGATCTACCACTCACCTGACTACAACTACCAGTCACCTGACTACACCTACCACTCACCAGACTACATCTACCACTCACCAGACTATATCTACCACTCACCTGACTACATCCACCACTCACCTGACTACAACTACCAGTCACCTGACTACATCCACCACTCACCTGACTACAACTACCACTCACCTGACTACAACTACCACTCACCTGACTACAACTACCACTCACCTGACTACAACTACCACTCACCTGACTACAACTACCACTCACCTGACTACATCCACCACTCACCTGACTACAACTACCACTCACCTGACTACACCTACCACTCACCTGGCCACAGCGCTCGTCAAGATCAACAGAAAGCAAAACTTGACCAGGATGGAGGAATAGGACATGCCGTCGGAAATTCCCATTTTACAGATGTCGTCGTGATATTCAACTGTGATGACACAGTGTAAAACATCAATGGTGACACAACGTAAAACATGAATGATAACACAATGTAAAACATGAATGGTGACACAGTGTAAAACATGAATGATAACACAATGTAAAACATGAATGGTGACACAGTGTAAAACATGAATGATAACACAATGTAAAACATGAATGGTGACACAACGTAAAACATCAATGGGACACAGAGTAAAATCAATGGTGACACAAAATAGACCTACTATGAGGTGGGTGTTGGTTGAGGTGGGTATAGGCCTATCTGGAGAGGATAGCCTGCAGTTGTTATGTGCGAGTGTATGTATGTATAACTCAGTGTATATATATGTGTACATGTGTATGTTTGTTAATGTGTGTAAATGTTTGCATGTAGGTTTGTAAATGTGTATGGATGTAAAGATTTCCTGAAGAAGCTGAAGTGTGTGTGTGTGTTGATCCACTTGGATGAACGTGGCCCTAGTCAGGTCCGCACATTCCGTGCCCAGTCAAGCGTGGCGGGTCAGATAACACTCTCAGGTTGGCTGAAGCTAAATGTCAGTCAATTAAATGTCAGTGAATTAAAAGCCATTCAATTCAATGTCAGTCAATTTAATGTCAGTCAATTTAATGTCAGTCAATTCAATGTCAGTCCATTAAATGTCAGTCCATTCAATGTCAGTCTGTTAAATGTCAGTCTGTTAAATGTCAGTCTGTTAAATGTCAGTCTGTTAAATGTCAGTCTGTTAAATGTCAGTCTGTTAAATGTCAGTCTGTTAAATGTCAGTCTGTTAAATGTCAGTCTGTTAAATGTCAGTCTGTTAAATGTCAGTCTGTTAAATGTCAGTCTGTTAAATGTCAGTCTATTAAAGGATACTCCGCATTCCTCCCTCTAAATAATAACAAGGTCTCTACCTCACCTACACCCCACCATCTGTCTCTACCTCACCTACACCCCACCACTCTACCTCACCTACACCCCACCACTCTACCTCACCTACACCCCACCACTCTACCTCACCTACACCCCATTTCTCTACCTCACCTACACCCCACCACTCTACCTCACCTACACCCCACCACTCTACCTCACCTACACCCCACCATCTGTCTCTACCTCCCTACACCCCACCATCTGTCTCTACCTCACCTACACCCCACCACTCTATCTCACCTACACCCCACCATTTCTCTACCTCACCTACACCCCACCACTCTACCTCACCTACACCCCACCATCTGTCTCTACCTCACCTACACCCCACCACTCTACCTCACCTACACCCCACCACTCTACCTCACCTACACCCCACCACTCTACCTCACCTACACCCCACCACTCTACCTCACCTACACCCCACCACTCTACCTCACCTACACCCCACCATCTACAGATATACGAATGCCAGTAAGTCAGCCTTGGTTTATTTCTAAACCACATGTCACGGATGGCTGATTTTCTCTGTCAACATTCCAGCAACATCTTAGTTTCTAGTGGTGGGGTGGGGGGAGTGGTGGTGGGGTGGGGAAGAGGTGATGGGGTGGGGGAGGGAGCGGTGGTGGGGTGGGGGAGGGAGCGGCGGTGGTGTGGGGGTCGGCGACGGGGGTCGATGGTGGGGTCGGATATCAGTGTAAAGAACTTCAAGTTAGTCTCTAACACTACACGGACGCCATTTTAAATTCACCTGACGGCCGTCACCTGAAACTTTGGCAGATTCTTCTCGAACTGTAAACACATCAACGGAAGGGGGGGGGGGGGGCGAATCATGGAATGCTCACTTCAATAATAAATATCCGTATTTTTAAGTTTCATGAACAGTTTCTTTTTACGCAAAAAAAACCCTTCATATTTCTATGTGTGTGTGGGGGGGGGGGGGGGGTGCGACAGATGGAGAGAATAAAACATGACTGCAATCGTGTTAATCAAGGAATTAGCTAACTTGACCAATCGTGTTAATCAAGGAATTAGCTAACTTGACCAATCGTGTTAATCAAGGAATTAGCTAACTTGACCAATCGTGTTAATCAAGGAATTAGCTAACTTGACCAATCGTGTTAATCAAGGAATTAGCTAACTTGACCAATCGTGTTAATCAAGGAAATAGCTAACTTGACCAATCGTGTTAATCAAGGAATTAGCTAACTTGACCAATCGTGTTAATCAAGGAATTAGCTAACTTGACCAATCGTGTTAATCAAGGAATTAGCTAACTTGACCAATCGTGTTAATCAAGGAATTAGCTAGCTTGACCAATCGTGTTAATCAAGGAATTAGCTAACTTGACCAATCGTGCTAATCAAGGAATTAGCTAACTTGACCAATCGTGTTAATCAAGGAATTAGCTAACTTGACCAATCGTGCTAATCAAGGAATTAGCTAACTTGACCACGTGGGTAGAGCTACAGCGTTCAGACAATATATGGGTGGGATTATGGGATACCTTCATTTGGATTCCTGATATTAATTAGCCCCCGTTAATTAGGGCTTAACCACAAATCAAAACATGGGGGGGGGGCTACAAAACATAGGCTACATACATATTATTACATATCACGTTCTTATTTTAATTTCTTTCGTTTATTAGCTGTTACTTTATTAAATGGAAATACAAATTGGTAGTAAGAATGTAAATAAAAGTGACTGATGTAAAAAAGTGACTGATGCACATAAAAAGTGACTGATGTAAAAAAGTGACTGATGTAAAAAAGTGACTGATGTAAAAAAGTGACTGATGTAAAAAAGTGACTGATGTAAAAAAGTGACTGATGTAAAAAAGTGACTGATGTAAAAAAGTGACTGATGTAAAAAAGTGACTGATGTAAAAAAGTGACTGATGTAAAAAAGTGACTGATGTAAAAAAGTGACTTACCAAGCTCAGTGGTGTGTCACCTCTCTAGACGCTTGGACTCAACTGAAACAGAATGAGGTCAGCACAAGACCACGCCCACCTGTTGTTACACACTAACAATTGAGGCCCTCAAGCAACGTGCCCAACTCAAGCTACCTCAAGTCTCGCTCCACCAACCCCACCCCACCTCGCTCCACCAACCCCACCTTCCCCCTCTCTTCCCTCCCCACCCCACCCATCGCAGACTTTGTGCGCCAAATACTGTGTCAAACCACTGCGACCCTAAAATCTGGATTGCAACATCTTTTTCAAAACTGTTGATATTTTTTAAAGTTCATTTTTCAACACAACATTGATTTGAGAGTAATACAACACACATAAGCAGTTAACCATCTTGTTTTATTCTCAGTTGTCAATCATTTAAAAGTGGTTGTCACAGCATCATATTATCTCTCACCCCACCACTGTCACTCCTGTACCCCACCCACCCCTGTCACTCCTCTACACCACCCCTGTCACTCCTGTACCCCTACCCCACCCCTGTCACTCCTGTACCCCACCCCTGTCACTCCTCTACCCCACCCCTGTCACTCCTCTACCCCACCCCAGTCACTCCTGTACCCCACTCCTGTCACTCCTCTACCCCACCCCTGTCACTCTTGTACCCCACCCCTGTCACTCCTCTACCCCACCCCTGTCACTCCTCTACCCCACCCCTGTCACTCCTCTACCCCACCCCTGTCACTCATCTAACCCACCCCTATCACTCCTGTACCCCACCGCAGTCACTCCTGTACCCCACTCCTGTCACTCCTCTACCCCACCCCTGTCACTCCTCTACCCTACCCCTGTCACTCCTCTACCCCACCCACCCCTGTCACTCCTGTACCCCACTCCTGTCACTCCTCTACCCCACCCCTGTCACTCCTCTACCCCACCCCTGTCACTCCTCTACCCCACCCCTGTCACTCCTCTACCCCACCCCTGTCACTCCTCTACCCCACCCCTGTCACTCATCTAACCCACCCCTATCACTCCTGTACCCCACCGCAGTCACTCCTGTACCCCACTCCTGTCACTCCTCTACCCCACCCCTGTCACTCCTCTACCCTACCCCTGTCACTCCTCTACCCCACCCACCCCTGTCACTCCTGTACCCCACTCCTGTCACTCCTCTACCCCACCCCTGTCACTCCTCTACCCCACCCCTGTCACTCCTCTACCCCACCCCTGTCACTCCTCTACCCCACCCACCCCTGTCACTCCTGTACCCACCCCTGTCACTCCTCTACCCCGCCCCTGTCACTCCTGTACCCCACCCCTGTCACTCCTCTACCCCACCCCTGTCACTCCTCTACCCCACCCCTGTCACTCATCTAACCCACCCCTATCACTCCTGTACCCCACCGCAGTCACTCCTGTACCCCACTCCTGTCACTCCTCTACCCCACCCCTGTCACTCCTCTACCCTACCCCTGTCACTCCTCTACCCCACCCACCCCTGTCACTCCTGTACCCCACTCCTGTCACTCCTCTACCCCACCCCTGTCACTCCTCTACCCCACCCCTGTCACTCCTCTACCCCACCCCTGTCACTCCTCTACCCCACCCACCCCTGTCACTCCTGTACCCACCCCTGTCACTCCTCTACCCCGCCCCTGTCACTCCTGTACCCCACCCCTGTCACTCCTGTACCCCACTCCTGTCACTCCTCTACCCCACCCCTGTCACTCCTGTACCCCACCCCTGTCACTCCTCTACCCCACCCCTGTCACTCCACTACCCCACCCCTGTCACTCCTGTACCCCACCCCTGTCACTCCTCTACCCCACCCCTGTCACTCCTCTACCCCACCCCTGTCACTCCTCTACCCCACCCCTGTCACTCATCTAACCCACCCCTATCACTCCTGCACCCCACCGCAGTCACTCCTGTACCCCACTCCTGTCACTCCTCTACCCCACCCCTGTCACTCCTCTACCCCACCCACCCCTGTCACTCCTGTACCCCACTCCTGTCACTCCTCTACCCCACCCCTGTCACTCCTCTACCCCACCCCTGTCACTCCTCTACCCCACCCCTGTCACTCCTCTACCCCACCCACCCCTGTCACTCCTGTACCCACCCCTGTCACTCCTCTACCCCGCCCCTGTCACTCCTGTACCCCACCCCTGTCACTCCTGTACCCCACCCACCCCTGTCACTCCTCTACCCCACCCCTGTCACTCCTCTACCCCACCCCTGTCACTCATCTAACCCACCCCTATCACTCCTGTACCCCACCGCAGTCACTCCTGTACCCCACTCCTGTCACTCCTCTACCCCACCCCTGTCACTCCTCTACCCCACCCCTGTCACTCCTCTACCCCACCCCTGTCACCCCTGTCACTCCTCTACCCCACCCACCCCTGTCACTCCTGTACCCCACTCCTGTCACTCCTCTACCCCACCCCTGTCACTCCTCTACCCCACCCCTGTCACTCCTCTACCCCACCCCTGTCACTCCTCTACCCCACCCACCCCTGTCACTCCTGTACCCACCCCTGTCACTCCTCTACCCCGCCCCTGTCACTCCTGTACCCCACCCCTGTCACTCCTGTACCCCACCCACCCCTGTCACTCCTGTACCCCACCCCTGTCACTCCTGTACCCCATCCCTGTCACTCCTGTACCCCACCCCTGTCACTCCTGTACCCCACCCCTGTCACTCCTGTACCCACCCCTGTCACTCCTGTACCCCACCCCTGTCACTCCTCTACCCCACCCCTGTCACTCCTGTACCCCACCCCTGTTACTCCTGTACCCCACCCCTGTCACTCCTGTACCCACCCCTGTCACTCCTCTACCCCACCCCTGTCACTCCTGTACCCCACCCCTGTCACTCCTGTACCCCACCCACCCCTGTCACTCCTGTACCCCACCCCTGTCACTCCTGTACCCCACCCCTGTCACTGCTGTACCCCACCCCTGTCACTCCTGTACCCACCCCTGTCACTCCTGTACCCCACCCACCCCTGTCACTCCTGTACCCCACCCCTGTCACTCCTGTACCCCGCCCCTGTCACTCCTGTACCCCACCCACCCCTGTCACTCCTCTACCCCACCCCTGTCACTCCTGTACCCCACCCACCCCTGTCACTCCTGTCTCCCACCCCTGTCACTCCTGTACCCCACCCACCCCTGTCACTCCTGTACCCCACCCCTGTCACTCCTGTACCCCACCCCTGTCACTCCTGTACCCCACCCACCCCTGTCACTCCTGTACCCCACCCACCCTTGTCACTCCTCTACCCCACCCCTGTCACTCCTCTACCCCACCCACCCCTGTTACTCCTGTACCCCACCCATGTCACTCCTGTACCCACCCCTGTCACTCCTGTACCCCACCCCTATCACTCCTCTACCCCACCCCTGTCACTCCTCTACCCCACCCCTGTCACTCCTGTACCCCACCCCTGTCACTCCTGTACCCCACCCACCCCTGTCACTCCTCTACCCCACCCCTGTCACTACCCCACCCCTGTCACTCATGTACCCCACCCCTGTCACTCCTGTACCCCACCCCTGTCACTCCTGTACCCCACCCCTATCACTCCTCTACCCCACCCCTGTCACTCCTCTACCCCACCCCTGTCACTCCTGTACCCCACCCCTGTCACTCCTGTACCCCTACCCCACCCCTGTCACTCCTGTACCCCACCCACCCCTGTCACTCCTCTACCCCACCCCTGTCACTCCTCTACCCCACCCCTGTCACTCCTGTACCACACCACTGTCACTCCTCTACCCCACCCCAGTCACTCCTGTTCCCCACCCACCCCTGTCACTCCTCTACCCCACCCCTGTCACTCCTCTACCCCACCCCTGTCACTCCTGTACCCCACCCCTGTCACTCCTCTACCCCACCCCTGTCACTCCTCTACCCCACCCCTGTCACTCCTGTACCCACCCCTGTCACTCCTGTACCCCACCCACCCCTGTCACTCCTGTACCCACCCCTGTCACTCCTGTACCCCACCCCTGTCACTGCTGTACCCCACCCCTGTCACTCCTGTACCCACCCCTGTCACTCCTGTACCCCACCCCTGTCACTCCAGTACCCACCCCTGTCACTCCTGTACCCCATCCCTGTCACTCCTGTACCCCACCCCTGTCACTCCTGTACCCCACCCCTGTCACTCCTGTTCCCCACCCACCCCTGTCACTCCTGTACCCCACCCCTGTCACTCCTGTACCCCACCCACCCCTGTCACTCCTGTACCCCACCCCTGTCACTCCTCTACCCCACCCACCCCTGTCACTCCTGTACCCACCCCTGTCACTCCTCTACCCCACCCCTGTCACTCCTGTACCACACCCACCCCTGTCACTCCTGTTCCCCACCCACCCCTGTCACTCCTGTACCCACCCTGTCACTCCTCTACCCCACCCCTGTCACTCCTGTACCCCACCCACCCCTGTCACTCCTGTACCCCACCCCTGTCACTCCTGTACCACACCCACCCCTGTCACTCCTCTACCCCACCCCTGTCACTCCTGTTCCCCACCCACCCCTGTCACTCCTCTACCCCACCCCTGTCACTCCTGTACCCCACCCCTGTCACTCCTGTACCCCACCCCTGTCACTCCTGTACCCCACCCACCCCTGTCACACCTCTACCCCACCCCTGTCACTCCTGTACCGCACACACCCCTGTCACTCCTCTACCCCACCCCTGTCACTCCTGTACCCACCCCTGTCACTCCTGTACCCCACCCCTGTCACTCCAGTACCCCACCTACCCCTGTCACTCCTCTACCCCACCCCTGTCACTCATGTACCCCACCCACCCCTGTCACTCCTCTACCCCACCCACCCCTGTTACTCCTGTACCCCACCCATGTCACTCCTCTACCCCACCCCTGTCACTCCTCTACCCCACCCCTGTCACTCCTCTACCCCACCCACCCCTGTCACTCCTGTACCCCACCCCTGTCACTCCTGTACCCCACCCACCCCTGTCACTCCTCTACCCCACCCCTGTCACTACCCCACCCCTGTCACTCATGTACCCCACCCCTGTCACTCCTGTACCCCACCCCTGTCACTCCTGTACCCCACCCACCCCTGTCACTCCTCTACCCCACCCCTGTCACTACCCCACCCCTGTCACTCATGTACCCCA